TCAATGGGTTTTGATGAAGATGCAACAGAATTAGAAGATGTAGTAGGATTGAGGTATGAAATATGTGAATCATAATTTTTTATTTTTTTTTCAAGCATTAATTTTCTGTAATGTGACTGTAATATAATACAAGCATTAGTATTTGTATAGGATAAATAATTTAGATTAAATTTAAATTAGATAATTGAATTAACTAACCTTGAAGCTGTGGATTATTCCTGCATCACATGGCTGCAGGTGTGCAGTTACATTTGGTGGAAAATGATGAACCTTTATGTTTGTTAATTGTAAATCTTCGGTCAAACTATGTGTTGGTGCATTGTCAACAAGCAATATTATATTTCTTTTTTCAGCTTTCATTCTTTTGTCTAATTTTTTAATATAATTGTTCCAGATTGATACTTGCATCCAAGCTTTACTATTCCAATAATAATCTACTGGTAATGTTTTTTATCAATTCCTCTTAAAGGCCGTGGAGTTTGATATTTATGTATGAACAAAGGCACCAATTTTTCTGTCCCAGATGCATTGCATGTAAGCAAAACCGTTACTCTATTTTTGTCTTGTTTGACCCCCAACAGTGGTCCAGTTGATAATCCACGTGATGGCTCCATTTTCCAAAAAAGGCCAGTTTTGTCACAATTGAAAATATTATCTAATTGGTATTCTCTAAGGATATTCTGCAAATCTCTTCTCATTTCAGGAAGTTGTTCAATTGGTGCACTTTGTGCTTCACCATGTTTAGAATATTCACAGATTGAATATCTTTGTTTGAAATTACTTAACCAACCAGAGGAACCATTAAAATCTTGAATATTTAATAATTCTGCAAATCTTATACTCTTCTGTTTAATAATAAGATCTGTAATTGTCAAATTACATTCAAGGGCCTTTTCAATCCACAAAATTAGAGCTTCTTCAATGTTAGCAAATTGGACAATAGATGGTCTTTTTAATTTTGCTTGATAGGAGTCTGGATCAATTTTAAGCCATTTTTCAGAATCTTTTAATATATCACTAACTTGACTTGTACTGATTCCAAACTGGCTTGCTAGTTCAATATTTTTTGGTTCGAGTTTATTTTTTTTTAATTTACATAATTCGCGTTTTTGTTCTGCAGTAATGTATACACGTTTTTTAGAGGAGGATGATTGTTGGGACATTTTTTATTTTTTAATTATAGTTTTAATAATACAATTTCATCTTAATTTATACATTTTGAAAATTATGAATCTTTGATAAAGGATAATAATCCCATTTATTTGTTATTTTATTTTAGAATTTAAAAATTTTGTTACTTGAACAAATAATCTATTTAATTGTTTTATTATTTTATTTAAAATTTTTAGAAACGAAAAATTTTGATCTATTGTTATTAAAAAATCTGTGAATAATTTTATTAATTGTGGAAAAAAAAATTTTTTGTTTATCAATTTTAGTAATTTGGATAATTTTATAACTTGAATGTCACGTGAATCCGCTGTGGTGAGATTAGTAGACATATAGAGAGATCACCATCAAAAACCCGTTAACACTGTGACGCAAGTTTATTAATAAAATCCGTTGTGACAAATATTTTTTAATTAATAAAAAAAGGGGCCAATACTTAAATCCGTTGTGACAAGAAATCCACTGTGATGAAATCCGCTGTGGCAAGGTTAGACTGTATAGAGGTAAATGACAGATTGATGGATGATGGATACCCACAGATCACATCACTAATATATACAGTCAACCCCCTCTAAGTGCATCCCCCTTGGGAATGAGTGATAGCGTGCACTTAGAGGGGTGTGCACTTAGAGAAACAAAGCATTTCATTGGTTGCACATGACACCAATAGAATAAAAATTTATTAATTAATTAATTATAACATCATTATCACTAAAAAAAAATTTTATATAATTATTGATTAAGATAAGATTCTATTATGGTTTGCTTCATTGTATTTATTGTTTTCAAACTAATATATCTATCAAGAGAATTAACCAGTTTTATTTGTTGGCTAGAATAAACAAAATTCATATTTTTGAGAATTAGACAAAGTTACTCTTTTTTGGAAACATTTTATTTAGAAGCAATAAAAGATAAAATATTTAATGAGATGAGTGAGTAAAAATATATATTATTTTTAATTTATTAATGATAAGGTTAATTTATAATAGAAGTTTTATTTTTAAAGTTGGTTACAAGATTTTAGTTATTAAATAAAATTCTTTATTCATGCCCTATTTATAATAATTTCAACTACATAAACTTCTTTGTCTACATTTTTGTACTTTGTTTTAATAACCTTTGTATCTATTGAAAAAAAAAAGAATTCTTTATTTCCCTGTCACTCACTTAATAAAAATGAACACCTCTTACAAAATAATTCTGTCATACTAATAAATTTAATTCTTTACCTTTTACTAATAATAAATTTAATTCTTTATATTCTTTATTATTATTTGCTAAGTATAAAATTTAATTCTTTATCATCTCTTACAAAAAATCAATTCTTTATCCATTTTTTTTGTTAAAAGTATTTTAATTTAATAGCATCGCACAGTTTTTATTGGACAACGATCACGTGAGAGTCACGGGAGTGCACTTAGAGGAGCATAATGGACACTCATTTTGTGCAACAGTCATTTGTATAATAGGCAGGCGGTTACACAGAGCCCGTTGCTTCTGAAACTTCACTAGAATATAGCTGTAGCCTCTCTAAGTCCAGATCATCA